CTGGATGGGAAATCACATTTTGTATGCTGTGATGATGCTTAGGAAAAGAATGTAAATTAGGTTACAAAAAAAAGTTTCAGAAAAAAAAATATCTATTCAATGACCTCAGTAAGATATATAGCCCCAGCTAGGTGCTACTTTATAGGATGCCTAAAATTAGACTTGTGTTCATGGAAATGTATATATCAGCTGTGTTTGCTATGAAAATATTTAGATTAATTAAGAACTTTAGTAATTCAATAAAAAATGGGGGGAAACAGTATAGAAAGTAAACATAGATACCAGAGACAGCGTGGGAAGAGAGTGGGAGATGGCAGAGGGTAAGAGATAGGGGAATCAAGGATGGGGGGAAAAAAGCAAAACATACAGGAAACAAGAAATGGAAAATTATTTGTTGACAATAGTATGTTTGTTGATGTGCTTGATTGAGACAATATACAGTGTACTCTGGATGGAAAATCTCATTTTGTATGCTGTAATGATGTACAGTAAATAAATGTAAACAAATACATTTAAATAAATAAAAAAAAGAAAAGAAGCTCCTCACAACCTCCTACAAACCCCAAATATGAAGAGAGAAAGGCTACAGAAATTTGCTTAGTGGACAGTTTAGTTATAGGGTTGAAAGTCAAAGCAACTCTGGCCTCAGACAGGGGTGTAGTGGAAAAATATGACACGCTGAGGCAATCCTACATGGGAAGGTCCCCAATCCAAGTCTAGAGACCTCCCTGAATATGCTGAGCATGTTCTTAGCATGATCTGGGACTGGCTGAAGGCTGAGAGTGGATTGTGGTGTCGAGACTCAGTTGGGGAGTATATCTCTGTCTCTTTTGTTCATGGAAGAAATAAATATGTATATATTAAAAAAAAGATAAAAAGAAAATTAGAGAGACTTACCTTATCACTGTTGAAGATTTCCCCTGACTGCCCAGTCAAGGTATAGAATGTGTCTGTGTTATTCATGTGCTTGGTGTTCATCTGCCCAGCAATTATGTGGAGTTTCACGAAATATCGGGCAGCTTCATTGTCCATCAAAAGCTCTTTTATCTAAGAAAAGAGAGCCAGTTGGAATTGTTCAAAGGAGAAGTTTCATAATGCATACTATGCCTTCTTCAGCATCAAAGACACTAAAGCCAGTGCACTGGGACTTGGGTTTGGGCTTTTTCAGATGCAGAAGACTTTCCATGAGCACAAAACCCCAGGCCAGGCCTTAAAGGGAACCAAACTGTGGAGAAGTGAAAGCAATGTGAAGGCATTCTCTTAATCCACAGGAGGCTGTTGTGGCACTGGAACTGCCATAGTGGGGAAAACAGAGCAATGACACAGAAGGACCCAGTACAGTGGCAGGTGCCAAGGACTCTACCTGGAGCCTGGGAAGTGTACAGAAATGAAAGATGAAATTCAGTGAGAAGAACAGGTAGAATGAATGGATTGATGGTGATTTTGAATAGAAAAGTTAAGAGTTTTCAAATCCATTGGACCAAATCTACATTTTTTTTGTCAATACTACACAGTCAGCAGTCAACAGATACATTTTTAAATAAATTTATTATTTTTTTGGAGATGTTTTTGCTATAAGGCGCATACTCTTACCAGAAATAAAGAGAGAGAGACAGCGAGACAGAAAGTGAGAAATCATCCCCTAGGGGAATGGCCATGCCACAATCCCTTCTCCTTCACTCTTCTCTCAGGATCTTGAGCACGTATGTACACGCGCCTGGTGTGAGTTTAAGCCACTGGGTCCGGTACTTGATCCCCAGTTGATTACATCAGAGTCCAGCGACGTAGCCATTAGGCCATCTGCTGGTCTCCAACAGATACATTTTATTTACCTTTTGTAACCTAATCTGTATATTAAACTAGAGACTACACCAAACTGCCTAGCCCAAAGGAATGCAATATTTTCTAGTTCTCTTCCCTAAGAGGAGAGATGTGAGGATGTCCCTGAAGGCTAACAATAGATTGATTCATCTCAGATCAGACTAATGACAGTGGCATATTAAGTTGAGAGAATCTCGAACAGCAAAATTTAACATCACAAAATATCTTGGATTAAGATAATCCAATTTCATGTAAGTTGGTATGTCCATTATTTACATTAAACCAAATAGAATGATTTCATTGAAACCATCATGACAGGGCACTTCCACCAGGGACTATCACTTTTATTCCCATTGACTTATATTGCCTTAAACAAAAGCTGCTCCCCTCAGCAGACTAACAATGTCATCTTTCCCCTATTGTTCGCTGTTACTATGAATGATGACTTGATGAAAGACCTAATACATTAGTTAGTTCAAGACTCTCTATGGGCAATGATCACTTCTGGATTATGTAAATCTTATTTATCTTATGACTATGTGTTCAGGACCTTTAGTGGTCATCCTTGGAGGTAATGATTAGAAAGGTGCACAAGGGAGTCTTCTAGAGTGCTGGCAATGGTCTTGATGGATACACAAGTATGTGTGCCTTATTCATCATCAAGGATACCAAAGCCACTGCATTGGAACTTGGGTTTGAGCTGACATGGAGGGAAAGGAGTTTTATTTTAAAACCAGCAGAGCGGTTGGCATTAGGAGAGATGGGATGTTAAGTTGGAGAAGATGGAAATTCACTGAGTTGTACATTTATGATTTGTGTCCTTTCTGTAAGGATATTTCACAGAAACATTACCAAAAAACCCACCATCCTTAGCAACAGTAGCAGGTGTAGTTTTAATAGGGGGTCTCCTACTTTAAATAAAAGAAAGTACTGCCGAGGAAGGTTTTTCTCATGAGCCTCTCCAGGGACCAGCAGATGGCGTAATGGTTACATCGCTGGACTCCCACATAGTCCATATGGTTGGAGTGGCTTAAAACTCACACTGGGCATGTGTGCGTGTGTGCCAAGATTCCAAGAAGAGAATGGAGAAGAGACTGTGGCATGGTCATCCCTTCTGGGAGGTGATTTTGTGCTGTATCTCTCTCTCTCTGTCTCTGTCTCTCTGTCTGTCTCTTGGGCTAGTACACTCTATAACAAAAATCTCTCATGAGCCTCTCCATGTAGGGCTATTTTAAATACTCACATTGAATCCTTTCAATCCCTTGTCTGTGGGCAACAGCACAGTGAATGGTCCCAGGTTGCTCAGTGGCCAGGCATAAGCTTTGTCTTAGGAGGTGAAACATGTGAAGAAAAAACACATCAAATGAGTCAGTGGCACGTGAGGAATAAAAGGAGGTAGTAGGCCTCAGGTCATTTATGCCCTTCCTGTTCTGATTCTGATATGCAGGCCTTTATAAATTGTGTTGCTCTCTAAAAATATAAGGCACCATGAAGCTAGGGCCCCAGGATATTCCACGTTACTTTCTAAGAGTTTCCTTGCAGCTATGACCTTGGTTCTAGGATACTCTGGAATGAGTGGTGCAGACATGACAAAATTCTCTGATAACTCAAGAGTCCCTGAGCTTGTGCTTGGCTTTTTTTTTTTTTTTTTTTTCTTTTTTCCCTTTTTTTTTTTCTTTTCCTTC